GTTTATGCTTTATAGCTACTCCAGTTGCAGGAAGAGATAAATTTATAACCATGTCCCATTCATTCATTATTTTAGGCTATCCACCTGGTAAGAAGGCATACCAAGTTTTGTATCTTCACACCAAACTCATTCATGTCTCCAGAGATGTCAAATTCTTTGAAAGCATTTTCCATCTTCACAATTTTCAAACTCCAAATACTAATCCAAATCTTTTTCTTCCTATTATTTCAGAAGATCACCATTCCCATATAGATACTCACATTATTGATCCAACAACTTCTTCCACTATATCTCCAACCATTCCTTGAAGAGGGTCTTCAAGAACTTCTAGACAAACTAATCATCTCAGTGATTACATATATAATCATGGCATATTTCATGATTCCATAAATTTCCCTCATACTCTAACTAATATTTTTATTAGTCATGATATACCAACTGTTGTAGTTGATTTGCAAATATATGATTTTCATTTGGTCACTAATGTTCAAGAACCATGATTCTACCATGAGGGTAAAGGGAATCCTTAGTGGGAAGAAGCTATGAACAAAGAATTCAGTGCATTGGATGCTAATAATACTTGGGATATTGTAAAACTCCCAAAAGAAAAGAAACCTATCTCATGTAGATAGGTTTACAAAGTCAAATACAAGGTCGGTGGAACTACATAAAGATATAAAGAAATATTGGTAGCAAAGGGTTTTACACAAAAGGAAGGAATAAATTGCCATGAGACTTTCTCGCATGTTGTCAAATTCAATACCATCAGATGCATTGTCACTTTATCCTTGAAGAAACAATGGAAAATTCATCAATTTGATGTGAAAAATACTTTCTTTCATAGGAAATTACATGAGGAAGTTTACATGAAGCTACCTCTACGTCACTTAGTCTCAACTCCTTCCTTAGTATGCGGGTTAAAGAAATCTTTATATGGATTAAGGCAGGCCTCTAGGCAATGGTATGCCAAACTGTCAACTTCTTTGTATTCCAAAGGCTATACTCCTTCACAAAATGAACATTCTCTTTTTATAAAGAAGTCAAATTAGTCTATGGTGATTGTTGTTGTGTGTGTTTATGATATACTAGTGATAGGAAATGACAATGAAGAGATCCAAAGTCTTAAAGCTTTCCTAGATGCACAATTTCAAATCAAGGATTTGGATTTCTTACATTTCTTTCTTGGTTTGGAGTTTCAATATACTAATAATGGCATGATTATTCATCAACATAAGTTTATTAAAGAACTTCTTAAGCTTTATTTTATGACTTCTTCAAAAACTGTCACCATGTCATTACCATTTAAACCATAATTGTTACCAAAAATGCCTCATCCCTTATCAAATCCTACTATCTATAGACTATTGATTGGCAAGATTAATTTTTTATTGCACACAAGACCCGATCTTTCTTATGTTGTGCAACATTTAAGCTAATTCAATCAAAATCCATGTCAAGCTCATTATGATAATGCTCTCCATGTTTTACAATACTTACAAGGAACTTCTATTAAAGGTCTCTTCTTTAACAACAAATCTTCTTTACAAATAGAAGCTTATTGTGTTTATGATTGTGATGCTTACCCAATTACAAGGAGATCAGTTAGTGGGTTCTTTATTCCTTTTGGTGGCAATCCTGTTTCATGCAAATCAAAGAAACAAACAACCATTTCTCTTTCTTCAACAGAGGTTGAATATCGTTAAATGTAGAGAGTATGTGTAGAGTTAACATATATGAGTAGATTGATTGCAGAATTAGGTGTCATTGAAGTTACACTAATTCCACTCAAGTGTGATAATTTGGCAGCTATATACATTTCAAGAAATCTAGTTTTCCACGAATGCACTAAACATGTTGAAATTGATTTCCACTTCGTTCGTGAAAAGCTTCAAGAAGGGTTAATATCCTTAACTCATGTTAATACTAGAAAACAACCTGTTTATGTCTTTACAGAATCTTCATATGGACCCCAACATTTACAAGCTGCATCCAATCTGGGTTTATTTCCATACCCTCCAGATTGAGAGGGGGGGGGGTGTTAGAAACAGTTTTGAAGTTAGTTAGTTAGATATTATGTCTATTTTAACTATAAGGGCATTTACTTCATTTCATTGTGAAAGTTGGTTTAGAGGGTTTTAGATGTGGTAGTTAAGATCAGGTGTGTATATATTCTTTTAGCTTCTTCATTTCTAAATTAATGAGAAAATTTGAGCTTCCATCAATCCTTTCTTTCTCATTTCTTGGATTATCTTACAACACAACCATTGGTCTTCAACCCAGCCTTCATCATCGACAACCCTCATTACTTCACCTATATTGTTCCTCTTATTTATGTCAAAACATTCTCATAAGAAGACATGATTTCCTCTCTTTATTTTCTAGTATAAATAATCACCAGAGGGTGCTGGAAGGGATTTGTTAGTTGAGCCTCTCTCCTAAACTATGTCCTTGTCATGATGACTCTCTCTCTCTCTCTCTCACATACACACTATATACTTCCAAGACCTCAAGGTTGGTGGGAGAATATAAAATCTCTCTCTCTCTCTCTCTCTCTCTCTCTCTTCATCATCGCTAAAGCTTCTAACAAATCAAAACTCTAAACCTTGTTAGAGAAACTAACATAGTTCTTGACAATAACAAACACGTTTCTCTTTCTCCCTAACAATTTCCCACCAGATGGGGTTGTCGGTAAAAAAAGGATTAGGTTTTCATTGGATCTAGCTTACCCTCTCACATTTTCCTTTAATTACTATTAGAAAATAAAACCATGAGGGTTGTTAGCGTATTCTCTACACAACCCTCACGTATTCTTGTTTCTCTCATAAACGTTGTCGAATAATCCTTCTTTATCGAAAGAGAATAATACATGGTTGAACCCCATTTCAAATACCTTTTGCAAGTCTTGTGACTGTTGTAAAGGGATTTGAACTATTATGATGGATGGTGTAGGGTTTTATCAAAAAAGGACAGAATTGCGGAGAAGATGATGTCTGATGGAGGTGGCATTGGTTCAATGGCGTTAGAAGGGAGGGAAATAGGTGATGGTGGGTGTAAGGGTAGGGTTGATGATGGAACATTCTATTTTAAAAGGTAAAATAATAAATCAAGTAGATTTTTTTTAAAGAAATTATAATAAAAGCAAGTTAGTTATATCATATTAATTAGGGACCAAAGATGAAACAAACTCAAATCATATATCATATTTATTAGGGGCCAAAGATGAAACAAACTCAAATCATAGGATGCTTAGCATTACAAATGAAAAAAATTTATTCACAAATCATTTATTTAATTTACTTCTAAAATAATGACATTTTGTAAATACAAATTATTATTATTGCTCATTACACTTTTCAAAATTAATAGTGTTTTATTAAAGAAAAAATAGTTTAAAAGTTAGATTTAACCGTTGAAGGACTATCCATATGATTTTTGGAAACCATATAGATAAAGCTGAAGAGTTTTGAAAGATATCTTCAACATGCTCGTTCTTAGAAGCACATGGACCATTTCTGATATCTTGTGTTAAATTAATGGTGTTTTGAGAAACTGCTCATTTCCGTGTTATGACAGCAATCCAGCATCCCTTATCTTGAATAAAATTCTTACAAAGTACAAACAATTTCTTGATAATTTCAAACTTCGATGACCAAATTAAAAGTAAGGACAAAATTGGTTGTCGTACTTTTCTCATTTAACTCTATTAAATTAAATACTTTTGATGATCAATTTGAACAAAAAGATGTAAATCCCACATGCAAATTATGACAATCATTACAATTAGTACATCCTCATCAATTTGTGTAACAAGATTCAGCCTCAACCATAGAGCCCAACTTCCCCAAGATCCAAAGAGCAATAAGCTTTATAATAATATATAAAGAATTCATCTACATTAGAAAATCAAGATCTTATGCCATTCATTCTGGTAATCAACTGTTATGATTTCAAAGCAAACCCTATTCTTTAGTACCTTGGCTTGATGAACGGATGATAAAAAAGATTTCAACTTTCGGTTTATTAGTTTGTTTCCTAGAGGGAAAAAAAACTAGACAAGTAACAGCCTTTTGTTCTAATGAGTTGTCTTCATCAACCTTCAAGCAATTGTCACTATCTTCATAGAAGACACTTTTTGTGTGTGTTCTAGAAAAATAATTTAATTTTTTAATTGACAGAAAGATTTGCAGGATAGGGGACCATAAGCCAGAAAGAAGTACCAAAATTTGTTAATTTTTATTGAGCCTTAAAAATTCACATAACACTGTTGATTTGGGTAGTTGGTGTACCATTAAGTACCACTCTCATTGCACACATTCATTTTCAATTTTCATCCATCTATCTTTTACCTTTAATCATTGAATCAAATTCTTGAAATTTAGCCTAAGTTTCAAGAAACAAAATCTAGAGAGAAAGACACATCCAAGAAAGGGTTTCTAGCTTTACTAAGAAAGAATCAGATTCTGGCCTTTTTCTAGCAACATGGGTTTTTGGCAAAAAGCACAATCAAAATTCTAAAACAAAACATCAACTCGATGGGCTTTTTCAAGATTTTAATTTGCACACACAAAAAAAGAAATTAATGGCACATGGATCTTTATAAAATATCATCACAATGAAATACCCGAAAAATCGTTTGAAAACGACGCATCATCCAGTGTGGCTCCCAGAAATCCGAGCAACGATGGAGGTTTTAATGTTAAACGACGAAACTACCCTTCCTTTCTTCATCATGTTCCATTAGGGCACACTAATGAAAAAGCATATGAAGCAAGATTGCAAGAATTGGGTAAAAAGAGAGACAAAAATTGGAGCTCTCTCTTTCAAACCCCACATAATTCAAAAATTGACAATTTTCTAAACAAAGGGAAACATCCCATTTGCTCCTCTCATCTCATTTTAATCAATCACACACAAAGAATGTGTTGATTTGGTTGATATTGAAAAGATTCTTGTTTTACTAAAGTTGGGTGAGGAACAGTGAAATTATAACCAAAACGAATCACTTGCTCTGTTTTTAGCAGAGTATTTTTGATAATTATATAGCAAAAGAAGGCAACTGGCACAGTCACATACATGGTCTAAAAACATTAAATCCAGATAATTTAAAACAGGGTTTAGAGCTAAACAAAGAGCTCGATTCAAACATGAAAGCTAAATCTTAAAAACACCAGTGATGACTGAAGAACCTGTGAATGGATTCGGTTTCTTCTACTCACTGTGTAGCAGCCATTGAAGCTTTCTCCCCTCCTCTCTTTGCTTTGAAGTACAGTGATTGACGTAATTTTTCCTGTAATTATTGACGAAATTAAGAATAGATAATAAAATCAGGCGGAATTGAGAAAAGGGTGATGGTTTTTTTTACCTGTTTGAGAGGATTATGGAGGATGAAGGTGAATCAATGGCGAGAATCGGAGGATGCAGAGGACGGCTTATCGGAGATGCCGTCGTGTTCCTCCTCTTCACCTTGAATTCGTGCTGGAATACGAAACCCGGAAAATCCACCTAAACCGGAGGCGAATCCGGACATGGAAGATGGGTGATGGAAAGCTAGGGTTGGTTGTTGATCGATGGCGACACCGGTGAACGGTGGCGGCGGGTCGATCCATGCACGAAACGAAGGTGCGTTACTGGACTGAAGGGGTCCCCTCTGAGAATTGTTGTTGAATAACTGATTGTTTGTTGTTTGACCGAACAACGGTTGCAGAAAAGGCGTCGACGGCGACGGCTGCGAACTGAAGACAAATCCGGCGGAAACAGCGTCTCCGCCTCCTACACCACCCCACGCCACCATTCTTTGAAACCCACCAGGCTGGTTGTCGGACCAACCCGACCCGTCAAAGAATATATTGTTATTGTTATTATTACCCTGTTCGTTTTGTTGGTGGTGATGGTGGTGGTTCTGGAGAATCGGATCTTGGAATGATTGAAGAGAAAGCCTCAGATCTTGACTTCGACTACTGGTTCTTGAAAGCAAATCCTGAGGTGGAAAACTTTGATGAAACTGCATACCTGAAGAAGTATTATTTCCTGGATTTGATGAAGCACCCATCGGAAAAAATGACTTGATTGTATCAGCTATAGAGTCGGAATCAAGAGACGGAGGCAAGAAGCTTGAGTTTTGTGAATTACCCATTTGATTATCAACAATACTATCATCTGGGTGTTGCTCGAAATGACTTAGTTGATGATGATTTGAGTTTTGTTGATCTGGGTTTTGCTCAAAATCTGCAATCGAGGTTGAATTTGGGGTTGTCGTCGCCGTAGTTGCAGTGGGCTTCCATGCCGGAAGCTCCGCGAGTTCATCAATGGCAGCCTTGGCTTTTTTAATAAGCCAATCGACGGCTTTGCTTGGGCGGTCGTAACCAAGGCGGTCTTGGACGTCGTAGAATTGGATGGCAGTGTGAGCCGAGAGACGAACACGGCGGTCCCTTGGTCCTTTCGCTGTGCACACCTTGCTGTGTCGGTCTTTCCGGCCAGTGGATCGTACAATGTGACCGCCCTGAACTTCCACAATCTCGCCACCGCCTCCGCCACCTGTGCCCCTCAATCCCAATCTCGACGACCCACTTGCTTGCTGTTGCTGCTGCTGCTGCTGTTGGAGTTGTTGGTTGTGATACTGATAACTTTCTCCCATTTTTTCCGGCAGCCTCGGTGCATATTCTTCTCCTTCTTGGGTCAGTTGGTCCACAGAAGAAGGTAAATAAGGGCGTTTCTTCTGTGGCCGCGGCGGCTGCCTTGCCGGACCACCTAATCCTCCGTGGAGAACACGGTTGTCGGGAGGTGGGATTTCTCGATTTTGTTGAAGCTGATGATGATTTTGATGGAATCCATGAAAACCTATCTGAATTTCTTGATCTTCTTCCTTCTCTTCTTGTCTTGAATTCAATAGTTGTTGATACAGATGAAGATGATGATGATTCCTCTGAGGATCCAGAATCACACCCTTACGATGATGAACAACCTCCTCCTGTTCCAGCTTTTTCAAAATCAACATAAAAAAACTAAAAACGTAATCAAATTCCACACTTCAACCCTAACCCCACCATTCACAGACAATTCTAAATCAAATTCCATCTCCAAATACAAACCCTAAAAAATCATGACATCAAAATCGAAGCCTAACCCATCTCCCCCTCTTCTCAATAAAAGCTTCAAGAAACAAGGAGGGGAGGGGAGTGGGAAGTGGGAAGTAGTAGTAAGTTTGCACAGCCACACAACAAATTTCAAGAAAGAAGAAGGAAAGAGGTGGGGAAGAAGAGAGAAGGGGGTTTATGTAGGGAGAGGGGAAGAAAACAGTGAAAGGAGGGAAAGAAGAATATTTACTTTTGTGGGGTCTACAAGGGGTGGCAGTGTTTGGAGGCTTTTAAAGATATTTGTGATCATAAGTCGCACGTCCGATATATTTAGGGGTCTTTTTAGTACGACTTAGGCCATGTCTAATCTAAACTATAGCATTTCTTGTTAAAACTATTTTAGTGTAAAATTATTTTTTTTTAGATAATATGATGTTACAAGAGAAAATGACATAAAAACCCTTAAGTTTTCACAAAAATGTCGGGTTTACCCTTGAACGTGTTTTATGTCCAGTAAAGTCCGAAGTTTTGTTTAATTTGTTCATTTTTACCCTTGTAGCCGGTTTCCAGGTAACCTACCGGTTACCTAGGTTACCTAATGCCAGTAAAGCCCTTGAATTTTCAAAAATGTTCGGATTTACCCTTAAGTTTTTCAAAAATGTTCGGATTTACCATTACCTTGATTGTTATTTTGATTATTATTATTATTATTATTATTATTATTATTATTAATACATTTTTAATTGTATAAAAATATTTTTTAGATACATTTTTAAATGAATAAAAATTGTTCATACGTTTTTAATACATTTTTATACATATTATTATTATTATTATTATTATTTTTAATACATTTTTAAATGTATAAAAATATTTTATATACACATTTTTAAAAATGTATTTATTTGTATTTAGTAGGTATAAGTATAAATATATATTTATTTCATATAAAAATATATTATATACATATAAATATAAAAATACATATTTATATGGTTTATATTATATAAAAGATATAATTATATGTATTTGTACATATTACCAAGTATAAATATGTATTTATTATCAAACATTATACTAAAAATGAACAAATTAAACAAAACTTCGGGCTTTAATGGACATAAAACACGTCCAAGGGTAAAACCAACATTTTTGTGAAAACTTAAGGGCTTTTATGTTATTTTCCCATGTTATAAATAAATAAAGCTAGATATAATCTTATACCAAATATCATAATAAAAATTATCGTTAGAAATTTATTTATATAATTTGTGATAACTTAAATCAATATATATATATATATATATATATATATATATATATATATATATATATATATATATATATATATATATCATTCCTAATAAATGAAGATAATTTTGCCACTTATTAATCTTTAATGAGTTTTAATACTTGTCATTTGTGGTATTTTTGAAATAATTATTATCCACTTGTCAATTTCTGATTTGTTTCAATTTTTAAAATTAAAGTCAAATACTTATATATGTAAAATATTAAATTGCAATGAATACATTTTTCCTTTCTTATTTTAAAGTTTTACATTACTGCCTACATTTTAAAGTTTAATCTTTTTTTTTTAAATTAACCTGTATAATATACGGGTCTCACACCTAGTATATAAATATACATAATGTGATTGTATCTACTCTAATGAAGATTTTTTTGCCACATGTCACACTTTCATTCAATTTGTCAAATGTCATTTTGTGGTTATTTTGGATTAATTTTTTTTTCCACATGTCATTTTATGGATTTTTTTTATTATATTAAATTTCACATAATAAATATAGTAATAAATAAATATCAATTTCATTAATGAACTTACCTTTTAATTTCAAAATTCACAAATTAAAGTTCATTAGTTTCTTTTGTTTATTTATTTAAATTTAAAAGATAAAAACATTTCAAATAAAATAATTCATTATTTTTCTTATTTTCTTATAAATCTAAAGTTCTCAAATATTTAAACCTTCATATTTAACTTTTTTTAAAATTAACTCATGTAATACATGGGTCTCACAACTAGTTATTATGATATAATAATTATTGCAAAAATTAATGAGTTAATTAGAAGAAAATTATGAGGTTTAATGTCAAAAACAACCATCTTTGATGGGGGAGTAAATTCGAGCAAATAAGAGGGTCTTATCAATTATAGACTTAAGGATTGTTTGATAGTTACTAATTAGGTCAGATCGGACTGAAGATGCCTAACTGAGTCAAAAGTCTGACTAAAACTATCTTATTTGATTATGCGTTTGACTAAATGTGTTTTATGATAAAAATGACAATTTTACCATTATGTTTAAAATAATAATATATGCCAACTAATGAATTGATTAAAAAAAACACCTTATAATTATAATTACAAACTACGAAGACACAATGTTATTGATTTTTGTCAAACGGGTATAATTATAATATATTCTAACTAATGCATTGATAAAAAGCAATAAACACTGTATAATTATAATTATAAACTACAAAGACACAATGTTATTGTTTTTGCCAAACAGGTTATGTGTACCACTTAAAATTAGCTTCAACACTTGCAATTGGTTGTTGGACAAAACATGCAAATGTAATGTAAGTAGAATGTTATAAACTGACTGTTAGAACTTTTTGGATTTATATTAAAAGTAGAATTCTATAAAATGAAAGTAAAATACAGTAAATGGCTTTAAATTGAAGTTATTAACAAAGGTTAATGTTGTAAAATGAAAGTAAAATGTTGTAAATTTAAAGTGAAATACATTTTGAAAACTTTTTGTAGTCTTTAATCCAACTAAAGTATAGGATCGAGTCGGGTGTCACAATAAATTACCTATAGTTGTCACGTCATAACCATCTATTTGTCACATCGTGACAATCAATGGATCCGGGTTTTGCCACATGTCACACTATTCCACCAAAGTGTACAGGTGACTTTCTTTCTTTCACATCGTGATGGTCAAAGGTTGACCTTTGGCTTGACTTTCTCAAAAAAGCAACGTATTTTCATCTCAAATTCAAACGGCCAGAATATTCGTCCTCGGAACAGGTGCAAATGTCTCGCTACCTAAGCATACTTAAGACCGATATCAAAGAGTTTGTATCAAGTAATCGATACAAGACCTTAGAAGAGATGCAAGACCATGCCATGAGGATAGAGATTGAGTTGGAAACTCAAGCGAAGGAAAAGAGGCAGACTCCAGCTCCGTCCCATCCAGCAACCAAAAGATCTAATCACATAGATTAAAGGTGTGGAGGACAGAAAGGTCCAAGGTGTGATAAGTGTGTAAAATCACACGAAGGGATCTGTCGTGCTGTAATATGCTACAATTGAGGCAAGGAAGGACATTACAGTCGAGACTGTAAGCAAGGAGCACAAGGAGTGCACATCTATTTCCACTACAATCAGATGGGCCACATCAAGGCCAACTGCCCTCTTCTGAACCCAACAGGCGCAATACAAGCTCCAATACCTGCAACATTAAGGATAACCGATGGAAGACAAGGAGGAGTTGAAGCCCCAAGGGCCAAGAGAGAATCTTTCAACTCATAGCAGAGGAAGCAATGGAAGCACCGGAGAATGTGGCTGGTTGTTCTTCGGATCAAGGAAAAGCTCCAACATTAATGAAATCACATCCTAGAAGTTAATAGTGTTCTTAGGCTTCAACTAACATAATAAATATACGACGACAATATTATAATAAATATGGGATGTTTACTTTACATATGGTTGTTAGTGTCAAACGTATGTGTATTTCCAAACAACTTATGTTTATCCTATTTTAGGGAAGTCACTTGTGAAGAATACAAGTAGTACGATAGGAATATCGATGGTCATTGGATATGACAAACATGAGTTTCTTCAAAGCCAAAAAAAGTAACTACCAACTGTATAAGCAAAAATAGCTTAAGCTTTGACCAATGACAAGTAGTAGCAGATAATGGGTCGAACCCAAGTGGGGGAGAACCGACCTTGAAGGAATAAGTACGAGGAGCAGCTCGACTCTCGACACCAAGGTATAGGAGTGACAACACAATTAGGTGGAGATTGTTAGTTTCGTCGTAAAGAATACGACCCAAGTAGATAGAAGTTTTTATTTAGGTTTAGGGTAAAGAAAGAAGGAAGTCTCCTGCTAAGATTATCCATAGGCTATGAACTTATTGCTTCTCAAGGAAAGGTTTGGTCTTTCCTCCCGAGCATCATATAGGATTTAGGAAATTACCGAATTCCCGGATTCGGCTCAGACAATCAAGAGGACCTGATAGGTTCATGCTTTCAAGGATGTAGGAATTATCCTCGCAGCAGAGTATCTATAGATAAGAAATTGAGTAGGTCACATAGATCGCTATGAAAAGTGTCAACTACTCAATACATATACAAGACTTAGACCATAGTAAGGATTTAGTAAACCCGTTGTAGTAGTATTGGTTAAATTTCAGGTTGCTAGGACACCTGAACTCGGCAAATAAGTTACCTATAATCTAGGATTGCAAGTGTTTTAAGGGTACATCATAGAAAAATGTCACAGGACACAAAATCAAAACAGTACACTGTAAGCCTTTATAAAGGCACGTTCTTGAAAGTGATTTCCATTAGGATTTCATAAATAAATTTCCTTAGTTACGCGTGTTAAAAAAAGTCAATAGTGAACAGAACAAATCAACATTTCACGTCTGAAGGTAACCATTTATCGTAAAATATAATTTCAGAGAGTCCCAATCAACGAGTTCCCGGTTTTGGAACACCTCACGAGGAGCTCAGGAGTACATCTAAGGTATAAAATGAAGTACTATGAGACGTGTAGATGCAACAATGCCGAATAGATTTCGATAAATTTGATAAGATAGTATCTAGGTGCGCTAGGAGCAGGATTTCAGGGACAAAATCTTTGTAAGTGGGGGAAAGTTGTAACACCCCATTTTTACCATTCCGTAGGATTCAATATAAACCAATGTTTATAAAATTCGAAGTAGAAATATATTACTCTTTATTCCAAGTAATCATCATAAACATGTAGGAAACATCGATACGATTTACATAGATATATAGAATCCAACTTCATACAAAGAAGTTATACTTCTTCGACGCTTCACGATTAAACCGGCACAAATCTGTGTTTTGTAAAATGTAAATTTTTGATATTTTACTTTTTATCCTAAGTGATCTAAATGAAAGTCATAGTAGTCGTTAAACCGAGAG